TGAAGGTGGAGTGCGTCAGTGGGTCATAAGATTTCAAAATGGCTGAACCAATGTTCACGACGAAGATCGAAGTGGGAGACCCAGCATAGTGACCGCCGAACTTCTCGAAAAAGTCGATGCTAAAGTCCGTGAAAATCGAAATTTCACAATAACGGAACTTTCTTTGAGTTTTCCACAAATTTCGCGAAGTTTGTTGCACGAAATCATCAGCAAAAAGCTTGGTTACCACAAGTTTTGTGCAAGATGGATTCCAAAAATCTTGACAGAGGACCACAAAAATCAGCGAATGGCTGCAGCGTTGAACTTTTTGGACGCTTACCATAAGGATGGTGACTCTTTACTCGATCGCATCGTTACTGGTGACGAAACATGGGTGAAACATGTGAACTGTGAAACGAAATTGCAATCAATGCAGTGGGGGCACACAAGTTCTCCCCAAAAACCCAAGAAATGCATGCAAACAATGTCGGCAAGGAAGATGATGGCGACTGTTTTTTGGGACAGAAAAGGTGTAATTTTGGTGGACTTCCTGGAAAGAGGCACTACAATAAACTCTCAAAGGTATTGCCAAACTCTCCAAAAAACTCAGAAGAGCAATTCAAACAAGCGCAGAGGAATGTTGAGCTCTAAGATCTTGTTGATTCACGACAACGCCTGGCCCCACACGGCAAATGTCACTCGTAAAGTTCTTGAATCTTTTAAGTGGGAGTTGTTTTCCTCATCCGCCGTACAGTCCCGACCTGGCACCGAGCGACTTCCACCTATTCCCAGCAATGAAGAAGTGGCTGGCTATGCAGCGTTTTGATGACGACGCACAGCTGCAAGAAGAGGTAACGAAGTGGTTGAAGGCGCAGGCGGCCGAATTTTTCGACGAAGGAATTTCCAAGCTCGTACATCGCTACGATAAATGCCTTAATTTGTATGGTGACTATGTAGAAAGTAGTATTTGAGTGTGGCTTTCATCTGTATATAATAAAATTTGTTTCCTATACTTTGTTTATTTTTTTATTCCAAAACGTAATCTACTTTCTGGATAGCCCTCGTACTTTCATTATGATTTATACATTTTATGCAATTAAACCATTACTAAACATAGCTAATATGAGTAAAATTTTATTAGATAATGTAGCAAATTATTTTATTAACAGATATATATATATTTTTACATAGCTGCTTAATTGTTGAACATTTTACAGATCAAAATAAAAAGTAAAAATAAAAATGAAATCTGAACAATCTGTTGAACAGGATTTTCAGTAAAGATTTGAAAATTATACAGAAACATTTTCCCACAGAATGATGAGAACCCTTAAGTTTTATATTCACTATATTTATCTTGCAAGGTCCTCTTTATTGCTAAAGAGGACTTGAAGAAGATAGCCCATTCACAACACGGAACATAAAAATAAAGTATATAATCGATGCTAAACATTTGCAAAATCTTGAAGTACACTTCAAATTCAAATTCTTAAGAGAGTGATTTGTTTTAAATATATATTTATAATATATGAGATAGGGTGAAGCAAAAATAATTTAGTTTTAATTTTTAACCACATAGTATTAACTGTTATCTAATCTAAAGTTTTAATTATTAAAAATGTATAGTGTGACACTCAACCTCCTTCAAATGCAATAATAATTTTAAACTTTAACAGGCACAACGAAGAATTTGTCTGTATTTAGTAGGTCAGATCCTACATATCCATAAAAATAAAATTATACTTACTGTCAATATCTTTCAGACTATTCTATGAATAATTTATTCATAGATATTATAAATAATTTCACTTTAAGAAGCAACTTAAAATTATGACTGTACCTTTATACAGATAAAGTTTCCTATTAAGCAAAAGCAGTGAAATGCCCTTTGCTTGAATCCCCGAGACCAATATCATATCATATAAAAGTTACACCTGATGGTTATAAATCAGTGGGATGCTTCATTAATTACCATTATTTTTAGCTGTTATTGCACATAAAATCTTAGCTATAAAATTTTTCATTAAATTATTTTATTACAGAGAAATAAAAGATTTTGCAAAAACATTTCTGTTTGTTTTGTGATATCTGAAGCAGCCACTTCTTATATTAGATTCCATCAGCTAATGCAGCAAAATATTGGCAATTCCTTCCAGGATACTTAATATCTATGAATCCAAGAAGTTCTCCCCACAATTTGGTAGTACAAGACCTCTGAATTCCATTTCCCGAAATGCTCTTGATCAAAACTGGAATGGAACTTAAGTCAATAGCTTTCTTGCACTTACCTGAATTAAATAATCCAATTCCCAACAGAAGTTCTTTACAACAGCTTTTCTTAAGGCAGCTAGCAGTCATGTCTCTTGCTGACCTCTAAACATGAACTTTTTCATACCCTACTTTGGCCTCTAGATTTGAACAGTCCAAAAATTACTGACCAAAACAAGTTTTCAACTGTGATGAGATTAGTCTTTCAGGATGAAAAAATGTTTAAACGAATATTCACAACTAAGAAGGAAATGGATTGCCAGAACACAAGACAATAAAAGATAAACTTTTTGGGGGGGATGCTAATGACAGTTGTGACTTGAAAATAAAATGTCTGATAGTTTACCACACAGAAAATTCTTAAGAGTCAAGTCGTTAAAACAGAATATTAAGTTATACATACTCGATGTGGACAGCTAACAGCAGAACTTGCATAATTGTACAATTCTTCTCTAAATGGATGACAAAAATCTGCTCTATAACAAAAAAAAAAAAAAAAAAAAAAATTGCAGCAAAAAAAGATTTAACTGAGAAAGTTCTCCTTGTGATAGATAATGCTCCAGTACATTCACTATAATTGAAAAAAAGATATGGATGAACAGTTTAACCAAAATTACATTTTTCCTCCTAAAGTTACATCAGTCATCATATCAGTGGATCCAACATTATTGAAAGAAACTTTATACCAAAGCTTTTTTCAAAAGTTTCTGCTAACGCAGAATTGACTGTGATATCTGGAAGGAATATTTAAATTTTCTTCAGTGTTTGTATCTTATTGATCAGTCATGGGAAATTATTTCTGTACGAACACTGAAATCAACCCTAGAAAACTATTGCATGACTGTGTCCAAAGAGTTCCCTTAGAACAACTTGAAGGTGAGGTGGCATTGTATATACTGTTGTTTCCTTGCATAAGACCATGCATTTAAATGTTATTAAAGCAGATATAGAGGCATTAGAACACAATGTTCAACTGACTACTGGAGAACTATATAAATTAAAAATAGAGGAGAAAAATTAAAAGGAACAGAAGCAAGTATTTTCAGAGAATGAAGATAGCAACACAAATAAAACAATTACAACAAGTAATGTAAATTGGAAATCTTGCAGCACTAAAGTGAGTTAAAGGAACTGTTAACATGTGACATTCAAAATCAAGCTATTAATCCTTCAGCCACCAATATCTTTAATATTGGTGATATTATATATAATATAGATATTACAAGTATATTATTATAACAATTACAAGTAATATAGATATTACTTAATCTGTAACTGGTATTAATCATACTGCCAAGTGATAATTTCACTGTCTACGGGATAATACAAGTACCAAAATTCACATCATGTCCTAATATAAAATGTTGCTAATCCATCCACGATAACACCTGTAAACAGGAGCCTTTTTAGCTGATCACTTATCAGATAGCATATAACAGCTTCCAAAGCATGCTATTCATCCCATCAACACACATGTGATTCATTTCTTTATTCACTAATTCATTATTTTTAGTTTACATATCCTAAATATGTATCGGTTATATATTTCTCGTTATTAAATAAATGCATTTTTGTAAATATTACATTGCAACAAAATAATTTTATCTCAGCATTTATATATTAAGCAGGAATGTAAAAAATAAAAATCAGATTGTTAAGTTTTCCTTTCTTTTCACAATTTAATATAAGAGAAAAAGACTTGTTTTACAAGATTACTGATGCACAATTTTTTATTATTTAGCTAATTATATATTTAACATTTCACATATACATACTTAATATTTTTGCTTCACTCTATACAACTAGCAAGCACAAGTTAAAGAAATTCCAAATTAATTCATTTTTGATATATGTATACAGTCAAAAGTCGTTAATCCGGACTCGTCGGAACTTCGGCGATTCTGGATTATAGATCATCAGTTTAAATCTCATAAGATGGCATGCAGAAATTCTAAAATTAAAAATATGAAACCGTAATTTATGAAATAAAGAACAATTATGAATCTAAAGGGTATCAAAATTTACACACACACACACACAAAAAAAAGCTTAATATTTATTTGTTTACTTTATTAAACATTTCTTTCAATGTAAGTTGTTTAAGTTGCTTCATTTTATGTGATAATACTTTCTCTTTAATTCTATAAACAGACATAATTTCTTGTTCAGTTACAAAGTTCCGCCAATGCCAATGATTTGCAATTTTCGGAGTGCCTATGGTTCAAAACCATGTACCTCCACATCAGAACTACTAAAAGTGAGCAGAAATAGGAAAAATTTGGCATAAGTGATTTACTTGATGCTCAATAGAGGGAGCCACAGGCTCGAGAAAGTTTAGGGATAGAGATAAGATAATAAAAACTTAAGTATCATAATCTTTTTATAAGTTTTTAGGTTTTTATAATTTTTTTTTTTTTTTTTTTTTTTTTTTTTTTGTATTTTAAGTTTCGCTGTTCAAGTCCTGTTAATTGCTGTGCTGAGAATACCGACTAACTTGTCAATCGAAATTTTTTCGTTTTCACTAACCTCTCTGTCACATTCTTCATGTCTTTATCCATTTTTTGCAGCATTCCACTTTTTGTTTGTTGGACATCAAAACATACTTTCATTTTGTAGATAATTTGGAAGTTCCAGCATCGGAAATTCTATTTGACATAATCGAAAGTTCAAGTTTACTTTTATAAAATTGCTCTTACAGTCTGCAAAAAATAATAAGCAGGATCCAATTTGAAGATTAAGAAACAACGCAATCATTAACATTAAGTGAAATAGATAATTAGATAATTTTAGCTTACACCGTCTGTTATACATTAAACGCGCAGGCGAAAACGTATTCTGCACTTGCGCACACGCATATGCGCAGTAGTCAAGGTCTTACGCTCACGCGTAAAAACGTACGTGTGCATGTGCCAACGTGGCGCATGTGCAGAAAGTTTTTAGCGTTGAGGTCCGGATTTATGGGTGTCTGAATTAACGACTTTTGACTGTATCTACATAGAATAAAATAAAGTGAGAATACTTAGTTAATCTATGGTAATTAAATAGCTCATTAGATTATAAACTGTTCTATTAAGATTTATCAAAGCTTGATATCTTACTGTCTCATGATTTAACTTGAAAATGATTTTGGATTATATTATCATATACAGATAACTAAACATACATAAAAAATTATTTTTGTTCAAAACCATTAAAGAAAAAAAAAATAAATAAATAAATAAAAAAAATAAGACCGGTCTGTATTGCATCATATCCAAAATAAATAAATTAAAATGCATCTGAATCTGAATCTCTTCCCTCAAATCACATTCACACAGCATATTTCGATATAAATAAAAATTTTAAATAATTCAGATACATTCAGCACAAAAATCATCATCACAAAAATCACATCTGAACAATAATAAGAGAATTACAGATAGGAATATGATTTTGTACATAAAGATAAAATTTTGAAAATTACAGAAAACTTGTTTAATTAAAAGTTTTTGAACAGAAAACTTTTCATGATTTTTTCTTAAATCTCATAAACTATAAATATATCATATTTCCTTCAGATAAGACAATTCATACTAAACTGTGATAAAATTAGCAAATTACATATAATTTTGAAAAATTTAAAACAGACTTGCTTTGGGTATTTTCACTTTTCACACTTTTTTATGTTTCCATCAATTTCATGATTTTGCATCTTTCAACAATATAAAATATTTGCCCTTTCACCTTCACAAAGGACTATCTGGCTCAAACCAAGACACATATACCTCTCTAGCAGTTCTTGGCCTTATTGTCTCCTTTTACAAGCCTTATTGTCTCCTTTTACAAATAAAATATTTGCCCTTTCACCTTCACAAAGGACTATCTGGCTCAAACCAAGACACATATACCTCTCTAGCAGTTCTTGGCCTTATTGTCTCCTTTTACAATGCTGCACTTAATACAATTTACAAGACTTGAGATATGTTATCATGGTAAGCCACTCATAAACAAAAATGGTAAATCATAAAATAAATCAGTGAAAGCTGCTCCTTTAAATTTCAAATTTTCATTCAATAAATTTTCTCTTTTGTTCAGATTTATTTATTTCATTTCAGAAATAAGCACTATCTTTTTCTAAAATATAATATTCTAATCTAATTGTGTTTAAAAGAATTTTCCCAAAAGAATATTTTTCAGTCAGATGCTGAGATGATAGTTTACTTTCAATTAAAAAAGCTATATTTCTATAGTTATTAAGCAGTTATATCTTTTTAATTATTTATATTTCAATGATTTAATTTGTCACTCACTGAAGAAGTAAAAAATTACTAGAAATACAGACTAATATCATCAAATTTTATTTAAATTAATAAGAACATTTCTTTCTTAATTAGTAATACAACTTATAAAATCATCTTAGGTATAATAATAGATTTTGTTTTTCAATGTTCCTTGAATGATATTCTGATTTTTGGCATTCTAAACAAGTTTGATTAAACAGAATAATTAATAATTTGTAATGCTACTGCTACAATAACAATCACAACAAATGCTTAAAGTATATTTTAAAAATGTTAATTAATGGAGTTCAAAACAGTTGGTAGTACAAATTACTACAGGAAGCTCTGAAGCAATTATACTTTTGATTTTTCACACTGTGATAGGGCACATGCAATATCCATACGGAAAATTAACCTTTACATGGGGCCATTATGGAAATTGCACTTTTTTTTTTTTTTATTTAGCCACTATATTGCTAACATGAAATTTAAAAGCAAAAATAAATTAATAAATAGTTTGACAAATTTTATAAATTAGCAAAGCTGTTTCTTGTTACTGAAGCACACTTTGTCTAAGGCACCTTAAGCATATCAGGATATAACTGTAGAATGCAGATGATTTAATGTGCTCATGTTACTGAGCATGAGAGGAATAACTATTTTCTCACCAGAACTGCATTTCTGAGGAATGGCAATTCTTGCAACTAGTTGCTTATTATCTGGAGAAACCTTTGAAAATGTTGGTATTGGAAATGCAGAAAAGTCTGCATTTATTTGTGTGCCCTGTTTCTGGGCAGCTTTTAAGTTAGCTATTTCTACCTTTAATTTTTCTGCTTCATTCTGTAGAATTTTCAGTTTTGATGCAGATTCAACAAGGTGATATTTAGCTGCCATTTTATCAATCGTTGGTTGTGTACCTGGTTTACGATGACTAATATCTACTACCAGAGGACAACACAAATTCTGTGCTTTTCCTAAAAGGTCTTTTGACTTCTTTGACAATGCAACAATGTTTTCTGATGGTGTGCTGTCTGCTTCAGAAAGCTCTACCATATTCATAAATCCAGTTGTACTTGCAAAACCTATAGGTTTAGTAGGAGTTTTCAGAGATGGTAAGTTTTCCAGTTGCTTCAACATGCGAGCAGTTTGCAATCTTATATTTTCGTTCTTTAAATGCTTCACCGTTAACTGCAGATCTTGGACTTGCTGCGATAACAAGGAGCTATCACGAGACATAACAATATTTGATGGTGCTGAACCTGGTACTGTAGGACTTGTAGGAGAAGCAACCAAGTTAGCTAAAGATGTAGTTTTTGATAAACCTTCTAGTATAACCTTTTTAGAAATTAATTTAATTTTGTCTTTCAGTTCCCCTCTTTCTGTTTCTAAAGCATCAATATCTGCTTGCAGATGATCAAGAGTTTCTTCAAATTCCTTTTCTTTTTTCTTAAGAAGCATTTTTGCTTCATCTAGCTGTCTCTGAATACGTTCAACTCTCTCATCACTGTCTTTTGTTGCTATTTCTAATTTCTTTTCTGCCATTTCTTTTCGAACATGCATCTCGCTTAACTCATCACTCTTCATTTTAAGAGCTTTCTTCAGCTCAAAAATATCACCCTCTCGAGCCTCCAACTTGAATTTTAAATTTTCTAAATCTCTTGCTTCTTCTTTAATGGCTTGTGCCCGCAGATAAACAGGCGGGTTTCCTTTTTCAACACTCGAACGATCAATTTCATATTCACCTTCTTGCATAGCACTTGACAATTTATTCATGTATGTCATAAGAGTATTCATTGATTGACGCATACATTCCGGCCCACTGTCATCCTTGCCATAAGCTTTGTCAGTAGATTCATGAGCAAGTTCTTTTATCTTTTCCATACTAACATGGACAGCATCCCCTGACATGGAAGTTTGTTGCACAGCAGATTTTCTTAAATAGAAGGCAGCTGTCATGACTTGTCCAATATTTTCTCTACAATGATTGAGTTGTTCTAAAATTTCAGCAGGAAAATGCAAAACAGATGTACTGTTATCTGCAGGCAGTCGTCTTCGAATTTTTTTCACAAACTGACGCACGTCGTCTGAATACGTACAAACATCTCTTAGTAAAATTCCAAATTCACTACTTTCACCAGAATTGTCCAACAGAACTTTTACTGAAGAAATATCAGTATGAATAGATTCACAAGCAGCTCCGATTAGTTTCATGTGATCTGCCATAAGTGAAGTACAATCAACAGTCTCTGAAGATAAATGCACACTATAAAGATTATAGAAATACATAACAGATTTAATTAGAGCATCAAGGTTAACATTTTCATCCAACTGATCTTTTCTTAATAAATCAATATAAAAATCGAGAGCTTTTTCTTGTACAGCCATTTCCATATACAGTGTGCCAATCTTCATAAATAATTCCACGTTGCAATGGTTAAGAGCACTAGAATACTGATGCAAAAGTGACTGTAAAAAGTAGAGCTGATATAATAAACGATTGGCAAATGAATACTGATCAATTTTATGACTCTTAAGTACAGTATCTTTAGATATTTCTTCAGGACAAGGGAATTTTTCTTTTATTTGTGATGATAAAATTTCAGCTTTTGTTATCATTCTAGGAATAAGCAAAAGCACTAAAATTGCATCATGATCAGAACCACGGCAGAGGAAATTATCAGGCATGAAAGCACATAAATAGTTGACATGCTGAGTAGCTTCTTGCACTTCTAACCTTCTCAAATCCATTTCTACAGCTCGAGCAAAAGCTTTCGTTTCTGCATATTTGACCTTAAAATCAAAATACTCAACTGGTTTAGACATAGCAACTCTATCAGATTCCTTCTGCAATTGCATTTGAAGTTCATGATTAGTCTCTCGCAGCTGCTCTGTCTGATCACGGAACTTTTGAATAGTTTGCTCATAATCTGCAATTGCTTCCTGAGTAGCTTCTAATTTCCTTTGACCTTCAATAATTTTAGCATTTAACATATCAACTTCTTCACGAAGTTCTAGTTCAGTTTCCTTAGCTGTTTCTTGTAACTGATCATTAACATCCTGTAATCGTTCCAAATCATCAACTAGAACTTGAAGCTCTCGCACTCTGTCTTCTAATGCCAAATTTCTCTCAGTTAAAAGTTCAATCATTTCTTCAGATCCAAGGGCTGCATCAACTTGTTCTTTCAACTCACCAAGTTGTTTTTCATAATCATCAACTAACAGACTTAATTTTTCCTTAGCACGACTAAGTTCGCTAATCTCTGATTTTGCTTGATCAAGTTCTTTCTGAGTTCTTTGATATTCTTGCTTTTCATGAGCAGATAAATCTCTCATTTTAACAAGAGCTTCCTTCAATCTCTCATTCTGCTGCTCTAATTGTTTCACTTGATACAATGTTGCAGTTCCATCACCTCCTTTATCCGACATTTCAGTTTTTAAAATTTCATAATCTATTTGCAATTCTTCAAGTTTTTCTTTAGTTTGTTCCAATTCTGCTTGCAGAGTTTCACATTTTTCTTCGGCCATTTCTTTATCTAATGTTGCTAATTCCATAGCTTCAGCTAAATCTGACATTTCTTCTGCATGTTGTTCTTTTGCTTCAATTGCATCTTTCGCTTCTTTTTTTGCTTGCGTTAGTTGCCTCTGAAGATCAGCCTGTACTTCCGTTATTTTTGCCTTATATTCCAGAAGCTGCTGCACCTGAATTTTTGTTTTCTCAGCTTCTTTTATTTTAGACTGGTCTTCAAGGCGCTTGATTTTCAAAGTTTCAATTTTTTCATTCAGATCTTTGATTTCATTTTTAAGACTATCAATTTCTTGATCTTTCTGGAGAAGTAAACCTTTGAATTCTAGTGTACTAGCAGCATTTTTGATAGATAAAATGTCAGCAGAATTCTCTGATGCATTCTCTTCAATCATCGAACTTTTTAATGAACTAGATGAAGAACCATGAGAAGGTGCTTCAGCCATATTTGCTGCATCTTTTGCTCCTTTATCAGTAGGAAATTTAGGAATATTTGTAGTGAAAGAAGATTTTCGTCGTTTTTCTGGAGCCTCTTTTACTGATGATATGTTTTCCATAGAACCAGTTGATGGTGATGACGATGCCCTACCCTTACTTCCAATGTCCTCATCAAGAACTAGAAGTTGAGTCTGACGAACAAATATCCCATAATTATCGGGACAAGTGAAATAAGCTTTGCCCTGAACACAACCATTATTTTTTCCTTTTGGTTCATCTAATATAACTCCAAACCACTTCCCAGAAGAAAAGTTTGTGTTACCAACAAATGCAACTTTACCTTTAACATCTTTACCCACAATTTCAACTCTGCTACCTATTTTAGGTATTTTCTCAGCCATATTTATCACCCCTTAATTAAATATTAAAAATAAGAAAATATAGCAGTTAACAATACATATTACTTAGTTTATTACTTAGTTTCCACTATATAAGTTTTACGGATAACCTTTTTTAAAGGTTTTGCAGACATTGGAACAGCCCAATATTCAGTTATCATCAAAATAATAGCCACAATAAAACTAACAAGTAAAAATGCTAAAAGAGTAATTCTCCAGACAAACAAGTAATCTGGTGGCAATATTTCTGGCTCAGGATATGATGCTTGAGATTCTCGAGGTATGAAGAGAAGAACAACAGTTATAAAAAAAGCAATCAAAATGCTCCCAAATCCAAGAAATCTGCAAGGTAAAAAAATAACTGTAAGAAAAATTAATTCAAAATTAAATAAAATTTTCAGTTTTCACCATTCATTGTAAATTTAAACAGCAGGTGGACACATTAAAAGTATGAAGAAAAACTATTTAAAAAAATACACAGAACACTAAAGAAAAAAATTACTACACACTAATTTACGAAACCAGAAATTTTAAAAAAAGCAGGAAGAGGAGGGAATTGAAGTAGATCAAAAATGTGGTATATTCCAAAGTGCATTTAAAATAATAGAATTTTATTTAGAAATGTTTATATAAGCATCTTATCTCAGCAAAAATTAACAGTTATGCGAGACCCAGCTTATCATACCATATTTGACGGCATATAAGATGCACCCTTATTTAGACGGCCACACACAAGGAAAAAAAAGTTTCAATAGCGTGGTTTCTTTTAGTTCTCACGTTTCGTAAAAGCCAAATAAACAATTATTGAATGCAATTACTTTCATGTATAAGACTGTGTCCTTCACGTATAAGACGCAGATAACTTTTTTGAAAGCAAATTTTATGCCGTCAAATACGCTAATTATTTCAAAATAGCACATCATTTGTCTAATTTCACTAAATTATTCGGATATCTGACATAAATTATGAGAATATGGACACAATATGAGAGCTTGGCACCTATTCGTACTGGCACTTAACCCAGTACAAATTTAGTTTAAATATCACGCTGAATAACAATAATAATAATAAAAAAATTTAATTTATGCCAATTCTTAATGTTGGACTTTGTTTTTCATTTTTTTTGGTTTTTGACCAGTACAAATGTTTAAAATTGAAACTGTTCTTAAAAAAAAAAAAAAAAAAATCTGATGTATACATCACGACTTTTTTGTATGGAATATTAAATTATATGGACTTTTTGCTGCATTTCATTTAAACTTAGTTCCTTGAATTTCATTAGAGATATATTTCTCATTCAAGTTATTCTGTTCTCAGTTCAAGGAATGGTAAAACTATATAAAACCTCAAAATATCTTCATTAAAAATTGAAAAATATAGATAAATAAATAAATAAAATACCAAATACAGTTAAAACAATTAAAAAAAAACAATTTTTACAATTAAAATTAGAGTTTCTATGCAAAAACAAGCATTTCGGCCAGCAGTCAACAATTTTTTCAGTGTACAAAAATGAAAGTTTAACTTTGGTCCTACTCAGCAAAAAAGACACTGAAGATACAGAAATTGATTTCACTATTCTGGTAGATTTTCAAATGTAAACCAATGTGGCTACTACGGTAAACAAAAATTAGGCTTAGCTGTACTTAAACAATTTTTAAATTGTTGTTAATTCAACTATTGCATGCAGATTAACTAAATGCATAAAAACCTTACACAGAAGATAAGAACAACATAATTCAATCATTTTTAAAGCAAAAAATGTGCATTTTACCAACATATAAGAATAAAAAAAAAATGAGCTCAATGAGACGAGTGACAGAGTGGGGGAGGTGCACAACTGCATATTATAGCAGTCCTATTTAATAATATGTGTCCAAACTTCAAATGTTTTGTATTCCATATTCAGTTGTTCTTGCCTTTTGATAGATGTTCATTTGCTCGATCAGCTGTAAATGAAATGCAGTCACAAATGCGATTCTACAGTTCTGGAATTACAATTTTTTTTTAATGCAGAACAAAATACAGCAATATCAGTTAACTTATATCCTTGTTCATTAAAACAAAAGGTGACTTATCGAGAATCAGTCAGGATTACATCAAAAGAAGAAATATTATGAGTGCATTGTGATGTCAGGGCTTATCCGTAACTGGCACTAAATCATCCTGCTAAGGGACAGTTTCACAGTTGATGGGACAACATGTAAGTACCTTTTCACACATTCTGGTGATAAGTTCTTTTGTGTTTTTAACATTTTAATTTTTCTTAGCAATAGAAGTAAGAATTTTTTAAATTTTAAATCCTATTAAAAATAATGCATTACTGCATCTAGCAAATATATTAAAAGTTGTATGAGAGTGAAGCATAGAACTTTTCTTAAACATTTCTGGCTAAAGCATTTATCTCATATTCCCTCTTATAGTACTATGCTTTCATATCAACATACATTAATACTCTTCTAAAAATATAGATTTTTTTTTATTTGCATGTTCTCACACATGGATAAAATATGGCCAGTTAAAACATTAAATCCTTTTAACTAACCTGTTTGCACTTTAGATGTAGAATATAAAAACATCACAAATAGATGAGTTTTCAGATAAGAAATATGCAGTGATTTAAATTAATGTCAATAGAAGCAGTTCAAAAGAAAGCATCAACATTTTTCTGTGTAATAAAAAATTATAACTGCTATTCAGTGGAAAATTTTGCTCTTTAAGAGACTACTAGTGACACTGAATACTTGGAGTTCAACCTGAGTCTAATCCCAGATGAAAAGGCTGCCTGCATTCTTGTTTTCTCGTGAATGTAAATGCGAGCCAGTCTATCTAATAAAGTTCTCTACAAAAGCACGCTTTACCTTCGGCTAGTAAAGGCCTTAGATACACCCCACATTTGCAGCTTCTTTTCCTCAAGTGTTAATTTAAGATAATGAAAAACATTAGTAAAGTAGTAGTACCAAGCAGCATGAAGGAAAAGGAGGCAAGGTTTTGCACAGGGTTCATACACAGTTCTCCACATGAAAAAGGTACTTTTAAGGACCATTAATGAAAAATATTAAGGACCTACAGCAAATTAGAACTGAAAAATTCAATTAAAAATTTTATCTATGCCTGAACTTCACTTTTGTAACACCATCTCAAGAATAAAACAGATCCGCAAATGGAATACATGCATTATTATTACATATTTAATAATGCATCCTATTTATGATTTAATAATCATAATTATAAAACAAATTTGAGAATAAAGTCAACTTTATAAAACTTATCAAGTAGCATTAAATATTTTGCACAATAGTTGGATATATTTTAAAGAAGATTAGTTTAAAGACGGATTTAATTCACTTTTACTAGATAGCTTCATGTTGATTTTTTCTTTTATGTCTTGTTTCATTACGTACACTCAGTAAATAGCAAGCAGATTTTGTGTCAAAAAGCATAGGTTAAAATGAGAAGCAAAATAATAATCAGCATGATCCATAACAGAGATTTATTGCTGCTGCTTGCCTAAAGAGAGACCTGCTGATCAGAACAGGCCCGAATGCGTGATGTGGCAGGGTTCGCAAATTTTGAAAGTATTATGCTGTTTGTCTGATGCAGTTAGTGTCCTGCACAATTCCCGGACTTGTAATCCAGTCCTGCACAATTAGAGGTGATAAGGTGTTTTGTATTATTCACTAGCTGTAAGGAATAAATTCTACACAATAACTTGCTTTTAAAACACAGATAAAAATTTCAAGGGTGAGGAATTAGTTAATAATTAAATTACATAGTTAGATACCCTTAGTCATTACAGATTTACATTGCCACAATATATATATATATTTTAATTTTCTTAAAATATTTGTTAAAAAAGCATTACTAAAATCACAATTTTAAAATGTGTGTAATTTATGACATTGTTTCTTACATGATATTACAATAATTACACATTAAAAACTACAAAACATTTGTAACACGCAGCAAAATATGTATGTATTTTTTAAATCTGAAAATTTCCGACATTTTGACTAATTTATATCAATTTCCTTCTCTTTAAGCACCTTTTATAACAATAAGAAATCTGTTTAAATACGCAAACCAATGTTCCACTAGTTTTTGCTTTGTCTCCTAACATGTCAATGTTTCGACAGTATACCTATGAGGTTTTAATTGAACTCTTAAAATAGTCCAGAACCCCTGACAGACTTGAAGCAAATTATCACCATATGTGAAAGTAATTACAAAGTCAGAAAAAGATTTAAATAAACCTCTTTATTTAAACAGAACTTAAAACATAAATGAATGTTCTTATACTACAAAATTAACTACAGCTTGTGATGATGCAACTACACAGGAACAGTCAAATTCAAATTTAAAATGTGGACTAGTAGTCAAAAACTACACAATTTAATTTTAAAATCTCAGCTGGCTCACTAACTCTCATAACAAATTCAAATATCGGCAGTTATAAAGTAAAGCCAAATAGTTACAAACTATTAGGGTCAATCTTTGGATTATGGTAACTTGGCAATTTTTTGTCGAAAATTTGGCGACCAACCCTGCTACAGCAACCTACTAGTTTTTGTTTGGATGCCATTTTGTTTTCACGAGTAAAGGCATTTTTTCCCCCCTCAACACTTTTTTCCAACAATCTGCTAGCCGAATTACGTTTATGTTAGAACTTTTATGGAACAAAAGTGCTTAATCATGACGAAGATTAGGTGCGAAATTGGAAGAAAGTGCAGAATCGCCTACTGCTTGCCACGTTTTTAAGAATTGCACAAACACGGTATCATCCACGTACACGTCGACCTATTTTCACTTAAAAAAAAACATCCCAGAATTGCACAAAAATGGCATTGCGCACCATGCACCTTATCCATGTACACTGCTAAAGTCCTAGCTAGTAACCTTTATCGCCTAACCAAAATGTCGCCAAACTACCTGTTACCATATTCCAAAGATTAGCCACTATTAGAGCTGGCAGGAAGTAATGCAGCACACAAGTGGAGGGCAGAAATACACTCTCTACAAAATAAAAAACCCAGTTTAAATACTATCTAACAGAGTTACATTCTGGTGAGGAAATGGAAAGGAAAAATTATAGTAAAGGCTGAAAGGCTAATCTTTGGAATATGGTAACAGGTAGTTTGGCAACATTTTGGTTAAGGCGATAAAGGTTACTAGCTAGGACTCTAGCAGTGTACATGGATAAAGTCAAGAGTGTGCGCAATGCCATTTTTGTGCAATTCTGGGATGTTTAAGCAAAAAAATAGGTCGACGTGTACATGGATACCGTGTATGTGCATTTCTTAAAAACGTGGCAAACAGTTTGCGATTGTGCACCTAATCTTCGTCATGATTAAGCACTTTTGTTCCATAAAAGTTCTAGCATAAGCGTAATTCGGCTAGCAGATTGTTAGAAAAAAATATTGAGTAAAAAAAAAAAAAAAAAGCCTTTACTTCGTGAAAACAAAATGGCGTCCTAACAAAAACTAGCAGTTTGCTGTAGCAGGGTTGGTTGCCAAAAAATCGCCAAGTTACCATAATCCAAAGATTAACCGGCTGAAATTATAAACTGGTTCATTCACATAATTGAGGAATAATTCTCTTTATGTATTCAGTTTCTTACCTCAGTAAGTTTCCTTTTCATTTTAGAATTTTCAACTCAAAGATTTACACTAGTCTAAAGAACTAGATGTATTGAGAATACATATGTTCTAATTTTATTTCTTTAGTAATATGAGCATTGAGAATAAACGTGATAAGATAGATAGTCAGGGCTGGTTACAGAGCCGGTGCAGAAGAATTTTCAGAATTTAGTGACGCACCAAGCAACACTGAGAGCAAAATTTAGGGAGGCACTAGGCAGCAGAATTTATACCTACAGAGATTGCATTTGGTGGGAAAATGCCTAGCGCCAGCCCTGTGTATGATGCATCGAGACATGTAATATGAATCTTTTAAATTGCCAGTTTTCAATTTCCTTATCAACAGAAAATTTCCTTTTTATGATAAGATGAAAAGCATTTTTGATATTTTCCATGCTTGTGACAAGTGAAAAGATGAGAAAATAAAGGCAAGATAAACATGTTAAAAAATGATTACAAGGATCAAACTTTAAATAGTGATATATTATGTTTCCATAGTTCTTCTAAAAATTATCCACGAAATTTAATTCATTACAAACTTCCTGTAAAATACATCCATTAGATGCTAATTCCATGAAGATAATTTTTATTTTGTCACAGTTTTTTTTTTTTTTTATTTTTAATCTTTTAGAATTATAGAAATGGGCCTTCAAATCCTTCTAAACTTACCAAGGTGCAATATCTAAAATCCAAAACGAAAATTATCCCTACCAATTCTGCAACAGGAAAAAGGCCAGAAAAAATAAATTCAAAGGAAAAAAGTGTAAAATGGATTTTATAGTGGAAACTATAATTCCACAGAATTTTGAAAAAATTACATGGGAGGGGGGAATTTTGTTGTTGTGACTTATCTCACTTGTCTGATAATAACATCAAGACAGATCATGAAATTCATCATGGCAAGAAGTGCAAGACTGCACTTGAGCACCATACAGATGACAGTAGACTTCACTCAGTTCCACCCCCAATTTTGATGAAGAGCATCCTAGGGTCTCCTAACCCTCCTTCTCTACAACCAACCTCTCAAGAAGACTTTCAGCTCGTTATATATTTAGAATGCCCCATACTGGACAGACACTATACCAGGGATACACAACCTGTGGCCTGCAGTCCAAATGTGGGCCTGTGAGCAGTCAGCTTGTGGTCTGCCTAGATCTCTTCAAAATTTTGTTGCAATTTGACACATCAGTTATCTCTAGAAAGGGTTGCGAGGCCCTTCGTTACTCATTCTACTCTCTCCTGATTTAGCACTGAGCCAAGTTCCCAGGGTCAACCAAAATAAGGTCAGGGCCTGACCAAAAAACTACTCCTAGCCTATACAGCGTGCAGATAAAGGAAGCACGAGTTTGCATACATGCACTTAAAGGGGAAGAAAAATATTTGCTCAGATCGGAAGCGCTGTATTCATTTCTTTTATATTGTTCACTTTTGGCTTCATAACTATGCATTGTTTTATCATTTATGTGTTTATTTTTCTTTTTGAGACCATTAAAAGTTTCTCGTTTTGAATATTTCACTATTGTTAATATTATTTTGAAAGAAGAACCAACCAACACAGAAATTTTGTCATGTTTGTTCCACGTGGTTTTGACCAATGGATTTAAAACTAAAACAAAGATAGTGGACAATAACGGGAAATTTTTGGAAGTTTGAACTTATGAAATACTTTTTTTGTGGAGCAAAATAATAGAATTACATGCTTGATGTGTAATTTTATGATTAGTGTACGCAAGGAGTATAATATTAAGAGATACTATGACACGAAACATTCAACATTTTCAAAGCTTGAGGGACAAGATAAAAATCATGAAATCGAATCTCTTCGCCATCCTCTCGTTGCACAAAGAAAAGTATTTACACAGGCATCTTCACAATTAAATAACTGCGCTGAAGTTAGTTTGGGAATCACAGCCTTAATTTCTAAAAGCGGCCACCCACTTACTGATGGTGATTTTGTAAGGAAGTAAAATTGCCTAAGCAATCTGGCATCAGAGAAAGCATGCCCATGTGAATATCGGCAGAATGACAATTCAAAGAAGTACAGCTAGCCCTCCTACAACATGACATCTTGTAACATGGTTTCACTATAACACAGTTCTAAGTTGCAAGAACCCTCCTACAAAATGGTTTTTCTCTAAAATGATAAGAAAATTGCCTAAGCAATCTGAATAAATTTAATAAACTCCGCATGGAGCAAAAGCACCCATATAGCATGTCCGATAAAGATAACAAAACAATGTTTAAGAGGAAATTAATTTCTTTAGAAATAAAGACACATTTTTTGGACTGTCGTTTAAAAGGTGAAAAGGCATCTCACATTGGAAAAAGTTTCAATTTTAATTTGAATGATCTTAATTTATGATGAGTAATAACATAGTACATTTTTTTTCTTACCATTTGGTTTGAACAGCTCATTTAAATAAATGATTCTAGCAGGCCTGTACTTAGCATAAAACTGTTTCATCACTCATTAATTAAAAAGCATACTAAGATCAGTAATCAAATTCTTTTTAATCTTACCTTAATTTTTTTTTTTTAAACATTACAAAATTTTACTAAAAAAAATCTTAGAGGTATTAGATAGTAATCTGAAGGTTTCGGATCGCAATTTTTTTTTAAACTTACCTACATTTAAATGTTTTTCTAGACGTTTAATTATTTCAGCAAATTACGTTAAGTTAATTATAAGAGTTAAATGACTAAAAAAAACTAAAATGAGCCAATTGTAATGTTTACACATATAAAAAATATTGCTCATGAAAATAATAAATGACCTAAAATTTAAAAACATAAAACTTACGAGACAGGGCGTTTCGTTTTAGAAAACAGAACTGCCAGACATATTGCGCTGATCCATACGATAGCAATTACAAAAACTCCTACTCCAACACCAAAAATGCGATCAGTCATAACACTCTACCAGAAAATCAATTTATAACAGAATCGTCACAAAAAACTACTATGACATCCCATTCATTTCATCTTTGCTCACAGGATTCTCTTTCACAGTTGAATGCATATATCGAATTACACATTTAATATGTCATCGAAAAGTTTCACATGGAATTTTACTTTTTATAACTTGTAATTAATGTTTATTCGAAATGTTTAAAATCTAGAAAGTTTATTTTATCATATACTCTTCCCAAAATTCAGAAACTCCAGACAAGTTCAGATAAATGCATTACACGAAGATGTAATTCAGCTTCTGGACCGCTAAAAATATTTTCTTTTAGTTCTCTCACTCCTAATTAAGTTTATTAATTTATTTTTTAGAAAAAATAAAACATTTACTATATTTGAAATATAGAATATAATTTTTTATATACATTTAAGCGATATAGAATAACAACGAAGCAGAAAAGTTTTTTTTTTTCAAATTAGGTAGTGTATTTCTTGTGAAATATATTCTGATTTTCTTGCAAATATCCATCTATAATATACAGAAATACCTATTTTGTGTTGAATGCCTTATCCATATCCAATGAAACTTAAACGAGAATGATTTTTAAACTACCGAAATTTAGAATATTTGCTGGATAAATATTGGATAAATGAATATTATGTGAGCCATTCTCGGCGTCAGGTGGCGGGCCGTTCTACCAAAGAACAATACATATTCTTTGGTTCTACCTCCATGGTTTATTTACTGTTTCTGACGTCGAAGTTTTGGCATCCAAACGATATTTATAGTTAGAATTTTGTATTATTTTCTTTAAGTTGGAGGCAGCTGCCCGGAAGTGTGACTGCGATGAGAGCTTTTACCGCTGAGCAGTTGTCTTTTACTACAAATGATAACTGTGACTATTTTGACAACGAAGTAATTCGTCGTTGAAATGTTCAGTTTCTTCCTGCAAAATAAAATGTGATAAATGTTTGTGTCACAAATCTGGATCATAATCTAGTCTATGACTCATGATTAACTTCAGAACAGCGCCGGCGTTGACCGAAAGACCTGTCAGGTAAATAAGATTTATTCATAATTACAAGCTTTGGAATTTTCTGATAGCACGCTATGGATGCAGACGTAAAACGGATTTCAGTAAGCCTGCATTCAGATGTGAAGTTGCTGAATAACATTGTTAATAAATGAAATAAAGAATATATATTAAACATTCTAAAAATGCATATACAAACAGCGACAAAATTGCTAGAGATTTTACAAAATTCATAAAAATGAACGAGTTGTGTCAAGAAGATGTGATCTGCGCTACCTTTTGCAGCATATAATCATATAATTCTTATTTTTTTTTAAATCCTCCCGCACCTCTAAAAGTTTATGGTCAATACATCATTGTTGCAACTCTCAGGGCTACAACGTGCAGGTTACAAATTAAATAATCGCAGCAGGGATTATTAATATAAAGATTTAATATGGATATCTCACACAAACTGAAAACGTTACATTACTCTAACTAGTGCATACATATAACTGAGTGAAAAGGGAATTTCCTCGCTTAGTTCGCAGTTAAAGGAAAAAAAAAATAAGAATAATAAAAAATAGTCCAATCAACTGCGGCGCTCCTTCTGTCGACTTCGGATAGCCGTTATGTAATCGTCTGTCTGCAGCAGCCGTCTCCAACATTCTCCCCCTCTTTGAGTCGACTTCAGGTTGGCTCAAAGACATACAGTACCTGGTCGAAGAGATCTAATCTCTGAGGCACCTTGATCACACGTCCAAATCTTGACACTTTAGCACCTTGCAGGATGTTACTAGAGTCATTTGAAGAGTCATTAAAATCTGAATGCTCATCACTAGAAATAGAAGAAATAGGATTAGTAAAAGAGTTATCGTTTATGGGATCAGTGGGTATGTCCGTTAACTGCACTTCCAATGGAAAGACTCGCTGAATGGGACGAAGCAGCGTACCAGCTTGAGTCTTCAGTTCTACAGTTCTCACCTTGCCATCTTTCCCAGGAATTAGTCGAATGACCTTAGCTAAAGGCCAATGCATCCGTTTTTTTTGATGTCATCTCCTATTAGGACAATTTCACCCAACCGTAGCTCTGACGATGGATCCTTCTTATTTTGGACCAGAAGGCCTAAATATTCTTTCCTAAATCTATGCCTTAAATCATTAAGCAGTTTTTGGCGATGTCTAGCCCTTTTTCGAAGACCTTTCGAATCGCAGAAATCAACATCAGGAACACCTAAGCTACGATTCTCGATGAGAAACATGGCTGGGAGAAAGTGGGATTAAATCATCCGGAATTTTCCGGACAGATAGGTAAGAGGTCTAGAGTTAATTATTGACTCGCAGTCGCACAATACTGTGTACAACTCCTCGGTTGTAAGAACCGCGTTACCGAGTGTCCTTCTCAACAGTTCCTTTACTACATGAACTAACCTCTCCCTCCAGCCTCTTGAAAGCATATCTGCCGGGTTTAAATAACGTGGTACATGGCCCCCAACACTGAAAAGGAATCAGACTGTTTATTTCTTTTACTCTATTCGCAACGAACACTGACCAATCACTACAGTTCTTAATACACCAGAGTGCTACCATAGAATCACTCCATGCAATAATTTTCAAATCAGGCAAATCTAAGGCGGCGTATACTGAGTGTACCAGTCTCGCGCCAGTGCAACAGGCCATCAATTCTAACCGGGGTATTGTCAGAGATTTTAACGGCGCTACCCTGGATTTGGCTCTGATCAATCGAATTTTGACTCCCACGGCGTTACACAGTTCTAATGTAGAATACATGCACCATAGGAGCTTTTACATACATCAACGAATAGATGTAACTCTAAATTCTCATTTATTTCTACATATCGTGGAATACTAATTTTCTCAAGATATTTAATTTCATCCTGCCACTTCTGAAAAGTTTTCTGAATGTTGTCTGGCAAGGGGTCATCCCATTTTAATTTGATAGTCCAAGCTTCCTGTAATAGTATTTTACGTAGCAAGGTAGTTGGACTCAAAGAACCCTGCAGATCAAAAATTTTATGTACCATAGCCAACATATTACGTTCACTTATCTCATTATCCATTGAATAATTAAGATTACATTTTAATGTATCGTTATCCAAATCCCATAAGATCCCAAGAAGAGAAGTTGTACCTGAACTACGGGAAATACAATGACCTGGAACAAAGACATTCAGGGCGCTGTTAGGAATCATCAAAGCAAAAATTATGGTCTCAAATGGGTTAAGGCCCATGTCGGCAATATTGGTAATGAGCTTGCTAATAAGATGGCTAAGGAAGCAGTTCTCCATGGCCATACTCCCATTTAAAGACAATTACCAGACTACGTGCCATATTGAAGTGGCAAAAAGAGTGGGACTCCAGTCCTGCTGGACGAAGAACAGCATATCACATTGCATATGTCTACCCAGACAGAAATATAGGTAACCCTTTGTTAATTAGATACACAAGAGGCCATGGTCCTTTTCCAGCGTATTTCGCGTGACATGGAATCAGTAACTCAGATATGTGTGTCTGTGGCTCACAAGGCACACGCGAACACTATGTTACCAGCTGCCAGCTCACTGCTGGACAACATCTCTTAATTCCATCTACTAATACACAAGCCTATTGTAAATATTTAATAAAGCAAAGGCATCTGGTTTGTAAAATTTGTGTTATAATGTCAAAGCTCTCGTCACTGGGTGCTGACCTATGCCAGAGTGCTTAACGGGTCAGTGCAGCAACTGCTTATATGTATTATATGCAGCTACAACATTTACAAGGAATGACACTATATGCTACATGCTTTATGATCGAACATTAAAGCATCAACTATGCAGTCTTGCAATTATATGCACCTTATATATGTATAAACAATAAGGAACAGTATGCTACATATGCGTGCCAATGCATGGACAATATGAAAAACTTAAGTATATACTATATGCAATTGTAATGCCAAGCCATGCATTCTAATACGTACTAAGGTACTATGTAAATTAATTTGATGAAAATATATATAGTAAAAGTTCCTTACTACATGTTCATAATATACCTATGCAGTATCATGTTTCATTTGACAATGGATGTATACTCGGAACAACGTTAAAGCACTTGTAACACTGTAAAGCAATGTCAGTATGTAAAATTATAAAGTAGCTTTATTGTGAACAATTTTCTTATGTAGTAATGGAATTACGAAACAGCATATCAGACCAGTGTATGCAAAGCTATTAAGTGGCACTATGTTTTAATTGAACAATTTCAGATATTAAGTTGTTCTATGTTTAATTGAATATTTGCATAGCTATGTAATATTATGTTCTAATTGAGTTCTGTGTAGTATTTTACGGTACAGTGTTATTGAACAGTAACAATTTCTATTAGCAGTAATATAATGAAACATAAGTAAGTGTTTTGCTTTTAGGAAACTAATGTTGCAATTGAGAATAATATGTGAATCAATATTTCAACTATGTTTTACTTGAGTATTATGTTCCTTTTAAGTAGCAACTTGTAACGTGCATGGATAAGCTGGCGCATTATATTAAGAGCTGATGATTAAGTATCATGTTTTATAAAGATTTAACGTGCAATTTTTGTGTATAGCCAATGTTCTATGTTTTCGTATGTCCAATGTTTTCTATGCAAATTCATGTTAAAATTATGTATATATGTGTACTCAAATAATGTAAAAGCTCCCTATACTTAGCAAAAAGTTAACATATGTATTGGTATATGTATATGCAATGACTGATTAAGTAATTACAATATATCTATGTAGCATTTTGTGCGTTTTGAATTTACAAAGCATGAATGTACTTGAAGGATTTAAACTTAAAACGGTAACATGTAAAAGTGAGTAGCCCATAATCAGCAGAATAATGTATAAAACTGCTGTTACTCATTATCAATATTTGCATTTTGTATCTTGTAATCTTTTACCATTTTGTATGACATAATTAAGTGTAATTGTAAGACTTATTTTTAAAAATAGGTAATACGTCAAACACGTGTAGCCCATAATCTGTACAATCTATCTTGTACGGAATATTAAATTATACGCATTTTTTCTTGCATTTTATTTAAACTTATTAGATTGAATTAAACTTACTTCGCCAACAGCGCATAAACCACAATAGAATAAATGTATTCTTTAAAATTCACTTTGTTTACCATAGCGACACTCTGGCGCTTATGTCATTCATATTATAACTCAGAATGCACAAAATGTATATCATTTAAAGAATTTTCTAATCGTTG